CACTGTAAAATCAATAAAATCAATATGTTCTTCAAGGGTTCAAATATCCTCCACCCACAGGCTCTGAAAAAATCTGCCTGTGCCTGACCACACAGCTCACCCATGTAGAGACACACACTCCCATGCCTGGGCTCCTGGGCAAGGAGGTTAATGGAGAGGATAACTGGGGGCTGACTCTATGCTCTAGTTTTAATTAGCTGGTAGCTTATGCTTTAGCTAAGCAGTAGGTATAAAGCTGAGCCCTACAGAAGCAGCCGGGAATGGGAGAGCCCAGTGTTGGTGACAGGATAGACACCCATGGGACACAATTGCATGGGGCATGGGAGAGAGGACTCCACCACTGTATCCCCGTTACATGACTGATGTACACATCACACTGGTACCAACACGAGCCACAGTCCCCTGGGCTGTCTGGGGAAATCGTACCTCATCCCGAAGCACAACACAGAAAACTAATACTGCCTGGACATGTTTTCCCTCAAGGTGTGAGATTAAGGCCCAGGACTGTGCCAGTTCCCATTGCCAGGCTGCCTCCCACCCTCCTGAAGAGGCTAACCCAGGGTTTCTGATTTACGTCACTGTGCCTCGCCACTGGTGGGATTTCTTCAGCGTTTCCTGAGCCTGCCTGTGAGCTGTTTGCAGCATCTCAGCACTAAGCCCTCTGCTCCCAGAGAGCCTGGTCAATAAACACCAGGCTGCAGCTCACAGGCATCCCCGCCTCAAAGCTAATGTGGGGGGAGGAAGGTTCATGTTGAAAGACAGGATATGGGAAGGTGGTAGGTTTCTTTTTTGTTTGGGGGTGGGTTATTCCTCCATGAGAAAAAGAAGCTCGGTTCATCTCCTGTTGAAGTACGAAGTTGAAAAAGGCACCAGGCTGCTGTAATCACTCATCCTTCTCCAGAGACCCCTATCTACACCATGGCACAGCAAAAGCCTCACACTCAACAGAGCCTATTTTGAAAAAGTCTAGTGGCAACTGGCAAATAACAAACAAGCATGAGCACACCTCCAGTCCAGAGCTGCCATCCTAGACAGCTAGCATGGTAAAGCTCCCTGTCCTGGCTGTGTCCCAGGCTGGGCAGGAAACTGTTTTACAGCCTGTTGAAAAAAGGAGACCGAAATCAAGACACCTTTTCACAGCATGGCCTTGGCATGTCACCAAGAGCAAGGCAGGACAGAGTTGCCCACAACTAGCTTTGCACAGCCATTGAAAGCATTTCTCCCTGGCAATCCCTTTACTTTCCACACAGCTTTCCAAGCACAGGCTTGACAAACCAGAACAGACAGCTCCAAAAATACATGTCCTCCTTTGCCGTCGTGGGTCAGGGATTCAGAACAGAGCCAGGATCATGCTCCAAGAGCAGTTGGAGGGGCAGAGCTCATTCTGGGTTTAAAAACAAAACAAAGCAAAACAAGCTCTCCACCTCCCACCACTGTTAGACATGTTTCTTCTCTTCCTTTGGCACGATCAAGAGATTCAGGAATAAAGTCTGACTCTAACGCTCCAGCCCTTCCTTGCAGCCCTGCTGAGTGAACTGGATAGCAGCATATACACATCTGCTCAGCCTCTCAGGTCTTAAATGTTAATCCTTACTTTTTGAAAGCTTATAGTATTTTATTTTCTCCTTTCATGAACATTAACCTCCTTTTACCCTGTTCAAACCCAACTTAGCTCAAACCAAGAGGATATGCTGCTGCAATTCTTCTCACCCCAAAACACTGTGCTGAGGGTTGGAGTCAAGAAAATTGAAGATATCCTGATAGTAATACATATTACTTCATGCTGGACAAAGGTAGAAAAGCAAGAATTGTCTCCCTGTCTGGCCAAGTGCAGGGAGCAGCAGTCCAGCCAGACAAGGAGTCACTTTCATTCAGATGAGGATCTAAGAGAAGACTCTCAAGAACAGCACATTTATCTTTGGGAAGAAGAAATTTGCCAGAAGGGCACTGTTGAAGGAAGAAGGGAGGAAAGACTGAACAGGAAAAACGGGAAGAAAAGAAACAGAGAATGAAGAAAGGAGAAGGAAAATAAAAGACTTTGGGGCTTGATTTGTTTTTTAACAAACTATTTTACTGGCTTTCCTTTCTGGAGAGGGGGGTGGAAATGACTTTTTTAATGAAAAAAAAAAACAAGCAAATCTGAAATCTCAGGAGTGGTAATTACGTGCTTGATAGACGTCTGTCCGTTCTTCCATATCCAGAGTTTTTCCTCCAGCCAGGACGAGCAGCACAGTATGGCCACCTCATAACTTCCTTTGGACTTCAACTTCAATTGCATCATGTCTTGGCATGTTATCAACAATTACGGGGAGAAAATAATATCTCCCTCTTCTCCATACCATCCCTTCAATAGCGTATTTACACCCTGGTGGTGTGCAGGAGGGGAGTTCTTTCCCATCAGACTTGGATGTCTCCAGAAGTGCCCACTTCCAGGGGCTGATGGAAACCTGTCAGATCTGTTGTATGTATGCAGCAATGCCTGAGGTGTTTATATAAGTTTAGTATACCATTAGTTGGTCTCTAACTATGCCTGCATGCTGCAGGGTCTTATAGCAAAAGACAGTTATTGATGACATTTTCCTCTCTTCTCCCAGTTGGGTGTACCTGGGTCACTAAGCTTTCCCTTGAACTTCTGAGACTCTGTCAATCCCATCCAAAGCATCTGGATTAATTTCCTGATCCTGGGAATTCTGTAGTTGCTTTCAATGGGGACAGCAATACCTCCTATGATTTTACTAAAATATGTGGCTTCTTGGCAGAGGTGGGATGCTACTCTCAGGCTACACATAAGCAACAGAGGAACCAGCTCATGAAGTATTTATTTTCAATAACACAGCCCCACGTTTGTGCTCAAAACTGAAAAAGTGATTTATTTGTGTCTAGGATTTTTGCAGTGTTATCTGAGTACCTTGGAAAAAGGAGTGAACACATCTCCACAACTTCTCTGGCAGCATGGCACTACTTTACATCTTAGAGGCATGGCAGCAGAAGCAAAGGGGTTAAATGTCCTATTGGTGGCGGCCACTGGCTTTTGCTCCAGCTGCATGTAGGACCCACCACAGAGGAAAATAACACCAGTATACTTACCATGAGGCCTGACTGCAAGCCTCTGGATGTTAAGCTCTTCCCACAACTATTGCTGCAACGTGACAGTCAGCTCTTTGAAAAACAAGAATAAAATAAATGGTATCTTACATGGTGCTGTGGTGCTGTAGTTCTTTGCAGGGAACAGGAACGAGGCTTGCCAGATACCTCTACCTTTTGCAGTAAATCATGTCCAATTAAACGATAATGTCCCAGAGAGATATAAATTTTGATATTTGACTTTCAGTGTTCATTTCGCCAACAGTTTTTTTAGTTTTTAAAGGAAAGGAAATTAAATGGGGAAATGATTGCCCTATGCTAATTTTCCAGTTAAACTCACAGGAAACTGCGAAAGATAAGGTTCCCATAGCAATCGGAATAGGTACCACGCTGCACAGATGAGGCCTGATTTCCCTGCTTACTTTTAGCGCTGGTGGTTTATCTCCACACAGCACGGGGAGAAGCAATTACTTAGAATGAGGAACAAGGGTAAAGGAGCCTGTGGCATCTCCGATTCTTTTTAACGGCCATACCCCAGCATGGGTTTGATGCGCCACTATTGCAACACAGCCACGCATCTCGACCACGGCAAAGCTCCTGGGGGAATCCTGCCACCAGCTTCTCCTGTGGTTTTAACTGTGAAATTTGGATAGGCCTTCAAGCAGGCTTTGGCAGGGAGTTTTGCAATCCCAGCCTCCATAGGACAGAACTATCTGGCACTGCACCAAACACTGCATCCGAGTGCAATCCCTCCCAGCTATTGTCTCACATTCATGACTACCCTGGCAATGACAGACCTTTAATTCGACAAATCTGCTTCCAATGAACTCATCCTACCTATTAATTACTGCTTTATCTTGCCTGAGCTTATGATTATTGCACCTGATTATGTCTTCCTTATCCCCTGAGCAATCATCTGCAGCAAAGCCAAGGGAGCACAATCCTTCTCCCACCCTCGCCCCCAAGCTAGTCTGCAGCACAGAATCAGGCCTCCTTCATTAATTCCTCTACAAAATGCCCCCATAGCGCAGTTAAATTTGTGGGCGTGCAGTCCCCAGGGTCTCATTTGTCACTGCTGTGCTGCAGCTCTCTTTTTTTTACCAGCTGCTCTGGGACTTTTCCTGCACTCCAGGAATTTTCTCAGAGAACTGTCAAATATTCAGCTGTTTCACAATCTGATATGCTTTCAGTGGGCCGTGTAGTTTTGACCAGGAGCAAGTCCCCTGGGTAGTTATTCCTCACCCCCTTTCCAGCCTGAGACTGCCTTGAAATCCATCATCAATAACTATGATTGCATCAAGCACCCTGTCACTTCTCTTCCCTTTCAGTGACAACTGAAGCCGTAACTAACACCGCAGCTTCCTTTTATCATTGCTTATGATATGTTCCTGGCTCCTTCCCCCTTGTATGTAGGTGACCTAGCAATGCACTTTCTTTTGTCATCCTGCAGCTTCTTATGTACTTCTGAACCAACTTACTTATTCCCTACCCTAACGCCCAATCGTTTTGTGCCTTCGCATCCCTAACTTTGCTCCTGCACACCTTTTTATCTTCTCTCTCTCACCGCTGTGGTTTCCTTTCCTCCTCCCAGTGCTGCTGCTTATTTTTTTTTCCTTCCCTTTCTTTGTTAACACGTTGTTTTTCTCTTCCCCACCGGTGCCAGTACTGGAGCCCCACACTCCCCACCAAAGCGTGTTGCTCTCTCCTCAGTTGCTGACAGGGACAGTTGTCCACAGGGTGTCAAAAGAAATGCTGTCCCCGGTGGGTGCAACCAGCTGGGTGGAAGAAGAGGGTGTTCCAGATGCTTCTGTCTCGGATGTGAAGCAGAGAAGGGAAGAGCCCAGGAGAGAAAAGAAACCACTTCAGAAATGAGAGAGCGAATCAGTTCAAGGCATGGAGGAGACATCCCCAGCACCTTAGAAGTTAGTTTCTCTCTCTGTGATGCTGAGCACCTTCTGGACTGGAGGGGACCATCCCTGGCGCCTCAGTTCAGACAGCCCCGCCACATGCTTCTTTGGCTGCAGCAGGTCCTCCGCTGGGGAAATCAGCTGAGTTAGCCGCTGCGGAGAGGAAGCCTCTGTTAATTAAGCTAACAAACATACTGACACCCAATAGTGATCCACAACCATTGCTGGGGGCAAAGGCACCTAGAGATCCAATGCTCCCAGCTCCCTGCTCCTCTCACTGAGTGGCTGTCCAAGGGAGAGGAAGGAGAGCAGACTTGCTTTAACTGCCCTCAGTGACAATTATTCCACCTCTGGGCTTAAACCCGGGCTGTGAACTGATAATCTGATGCATGGGGTTCCTCACAGACATGTTTCTGCAAGGAAAGGTGCTAGAGATTAGCCCCAGAGACCACAGAAAAAGCTCTGTATAGCCCTTTTTTGTCTCTGTGCCAAGCAGCTGTGCTTCCTGTTCACTTTGGTGGGAGCTATGGAGCCTTCCAGATGGTCTGACCATCAGCAAGTGCTGGGCATCTCCTCCTATGGTCCAAAACAGGGTGGCAGGTGATACCTGCCGCAGTGGCATGTCACTGGTAAAGCAGTCCCTCCATAGACTGGTTCTTGTCCTCAAACCACCCCAGCTCCTCTCTTCCAGCCAGACACAATACAATGGTGCAAGCAGAGGTTGTGGAGCAGCTGCCTGCCCTTAGCTCCCCCTGTCTTCTGCAATGCAAGGGTGCTGCAGGCAGTTCCACACACGTGTATACTAGTGTTGTGTCAGCTTTGGGGAGTTAATCCTTAAAAATGGCACAGAACTTGGAGCTCCAGGCAAAAGATGCTGATCCACAGAGGCAGATGCTGTGAATTTCTGGTCTATCTCATCTCATTTCCAAGCCTGTTCCTGAGTGCCTCATCTCTCAAAGCCAAGTAACGCATGATGTCCTGCAGCCGCCTGCCCAGCTCCACGGGCCAGCATATAATTTCCCTGCTGAAAACTGACTTTCACAGTTACTAACTTTTTCCGCCACAAGCTGTTCAGACCAATGCACACCCCTCTCTTGGAAAGTGCATTGCAAGCAGAGCAGGCAATGCATCCATGACTTGCTGGATTAATTTCAGTGCTTCCACTCCTTGTGAAGGGTCTGCCAGAATCCCATATCTACTCATTTATTCAAAACTATTTGCCTCATGACTTCTGAAATTGGCCTTGGCCTGCAGCTGCTCTGTGAGCACTTCATTGTGAGGTTTCAGTCTTCGGAGCTTAAGCTGTCTTAATCAGACACATTAGGAAACAAACTTTGTGTTTCTTGGTCAGTCAAGTGTAACAAGAGAAATCAGTCTGTTGCAGTGGCTGATCATAATTACTAATTACAAACTTGCTGTCAGTGAATGGTTTGCACTCTTCAGTTGAAAGACACTGTTCCTGGAAGCATCTGTGCCAGGAAATTAATTCATTACATTTCTGGTGTGTGACTGGAAAAAGGGAACAGGTATATTTTGAGAAAACCTGCTTTTAAAGCAGGTGAACTGTTCCAGAAGGTATCGTGTGGTTGGCTTTGATCGTCCCCTGAATCAACCCAGATTTAGCAGCCAGTTCCTTCCTAAACCACATCCTTGGAAGTTTCTTCATATTAAGATAACTGAGAAGTCCCTGGAAATTACAACTAATATCATTTAACCAGGGCAAATGGAAAAACACTCCATCTGAAATTGGCCAAATCAATTCCTCGGATGTGCTGTAAAATAAGCATTAACACTACTCACAGCAGCCAAGGGCTCAAAGCACTTTGCAACAGGTGAGAAATATTGCTTGTGTAGCAGACTGGACATTTGGGCAATTACTTCAGTGACAGCTTCGGGTCCTCATTTAGACATATGAAACCTCTGAGCTCTGGGGAGTCACATGTGCCATCAGTCACCCAGTCAAACTCTTCCAACCGGCCATGGGAAAGGACAGATGCATTATCACTAAATGGCCCGGAGCACAGGAGAGGGCTGTAAGAGTCAGGACTCAGGGTCTGAACTTGAAGCAAACCATAACACAGCATCTTGGCACAAGATTCACCTGACATTCTTCATACATTCCTCATACAGCTGCCAGCTCCCTCCCAACTCCGTAATCTCTTCATGACCACCCATGGCAACCAGGAGGCCCAAGGGCCATACTTCTCCTCCACCTTCGTGCCTGCATGGCTTATGCCCCTGCCACTGTTTCACTTTCATTGCTGCCATTCCCATCTCGGCATTGCACTGTATCTTTTCCTGAGCCTGAGATGGGCATTAGCCAGCTCTGCCATAGCTCCTGTCTTCCCCTATTAAGTCACATCTCCCAGCCAGTAGATAAGAGTCCCTCTGGCCATAGAGTCACCTTCCCTGAGGCAATGGAGCCAACAAGGATATCCTGCACACAGCCCGTCCTTGGCTGTGTTGGCAGTACAGGGTCCTCCTTACCATGACCCAACAATGTGACTGTCAGACCTACACCACAGCCACAGGGATGCTCCCATCCAGAGTTCACCTGCTCCACCCTGCAACCAGCCACAGGTGAGCCTGTAACCAGTGAGGATGAGGAAGGACCAGAAGAGAAATTGTGCAGAAATTTATATGCACTGTACATCACTCAGGGTTTTTCTTCATGGGTCAGGTGGAGTCTCATCTTCATGACACCATCTTCCTAGACACAGTTCTACCCAGGACAATGACAAGGTGTCTGCAGTGAAAGAGGGCAGGCTTGGGCATGGCACAGGGTAGACCTTTGTAGTTCTCTGGGCAAGTCCTGTTTAACAACCTCAAGTACTTTCTTCAGAGAAAATAACATAGTCCTGATGCAGGACTAAAAGGGGAGCGGGAGCAAGGGACAAGAAGTAAAGGCAAAACAGATCATGGTTTTGCATCTGATTTGCGCTGACACCGATGAGTAACAAGAAAGCAGACGAAGGTGGTGGCCTGCCATCCTTACTTACGTGACCAGTGGGGCCACCTGAACCATAAACCAAACCAATCAACCTGTGACCTCTGCTAGCCCACACTAAAGGAATCATCTGCCATCCAGTGGAGCCACCGTTGGAGACACTCTGCATGTGTCTACATATTACCCTGAGCATGGTGGTGCAATGTCTCATGGAAGACTGAACATTTGATATTCACCATGGGAGCTGTGCTGAGATTCTCCAGGCCCTCCAGGTTGCCAACAAGAGCTACAGGGCATTCTGAGGAAGGACCACCCTCACCCTCCCTTGAGTCCTTAGAGGAGAAATGTGCCACATGCATCTTCCCTGGGGCCTTTCCCATAAGCCCTTTGAGGAAAGCATCAGCAACCCTCCCAGTGACCACAATCACAGTACCTGCTTCAGGGGTCCTTTGGTTTTCAGGAGTATGAAGACGGCATAGAGAGGAATGCAGACCATGGATGACAGTGCCATCAGCCAGCCCACCACATAGCCCCAGGCCGGGTATACGTAGGAATTGTTGTATTTCAAGGGTGTGTACTTGATCAGGGAAAACAGGAAGACAGCCTGAGGAGCATAAAACGCAGACATAGCCAGAGCAAAGGGAACAGCCAAGCCAGGCAGCCTGGTCACCCTGCAAGCACCGCCTGGGTGGCAGTGAGTGTTCTCTCTTGCACGAACTAGCATGGACCTTGCTAGCTGCAGCACAGCAGAGCTTGGTGGATGCTGACTGCACAAGGAGTTATCTCGGATCCTTGGCCAGGCTTCCCCACAGTGTAAAGCCTTCAGACTTCCAAAGATTTCAACCTAAACAAAGCTGGCAGCAGCTTTGAGGGTCCAGCAACACTGAGACACCAATTTATTCATATCAAAGTCAGGAACTGTAGTTCTCACTGACAGAAGCCCTCCAGAAGTACAGAAGCCCTCCAGAAGTACCATGCAGGCACAGATGTACACCTCTTGAGGCTCTCTAACACCAGGGCTCTCAGATGATTTGGGCTGCTTTGAAAATTTCCCTGGTTTTCAACTCCTGCTGGAGGCTGAGGACAAAGGACTAGAACTCTTTTGTAAGCTGTAGCTGTAGGTCCCATCTGGGTTCTCACTGAGGTTAAAAAAACCCTCAACTCTCAACACCAGATGCAGGAGCAAAATTTGGCTCAGAAATCATGTAAAAGTCAGTGGAGAAAGACTGGACATAAACTCAAAACAGGCAAGAACTTGCCCAACTTCATGTGCATTTTCTTTAAATACAGTTGTCAGAGAAGTTTTAGAAGATATTTAATAATACAGAAAGCAAGTGGCTGTGCAAAAATGTTTCTGAACCACAGGAGGTGCCAGGAACACAGGCTGAAGCAAGTATTTCAGAACAGGGTAATTCTCATCAGTCTTGTTTTTAAAAGTAATTTGACCAAAACTCTCCAGACTTTGAGGGTACATTTCCCTCTGCCTTCACAGTCAGCAAGTGACTTTTCAAGCTCAGTTAATCTTCCAGGCAAAAGATAAGGCTTTACAAAGGGAAATACACTGCCACCTCAGCTATGGACAAGCTTCTGCTTCTCCATAACAGCTTGAAAAAATTACAGCAGCACCTTGAAGACAAATCAGCTTTCCTTCTGAGAACCCAGTGACCCAAAATAACATGCCATGTTGTTGTAGCTGCACTTACCAAGCACATACCCGGAGTGAACACCAGCCAGCATATCTTGATCAAGGGCCATGGCCGGAAACCAATCATGTCCTCAATGTTGTCGTAGAAGCGGTTGGCACCTTGTCCACCAGCCAGCACAGACACAAAGTCAGAGGTCAGATCATTGTTGTTTCCTTCAACCACTACTCACATCAGATCCCAACTTTCTTTATTCTCAATGTTTATCCTGGCAAAACCACAGGTATCCCAATAATACAGCAGCAGGTAATGGTCTTTCCTGGCATTGAAAAGGCCCATCTGTGGTTAAATACACATGGAGGTTTTTAATTTCAGCCATAACTTATCAGAAGGCTTGACACAGAAGAAATGCCCTGTCCCTCAGACAGCAGTAGCTGTAAGTGAGAGGATGCAGCCAATGTGCCACTAAGAGTGGGTAAGGACCAGCACCAGGCAAGGAGGGGTGCCTGGTTTATGGGTAAACAAAGGAAAGCCCTTGCAGGTTGAGTACATGGGATTGTGTAAGTCCAGAGTACAAAAAGAAAGAAAGAGAGTGGGGGACACCAAACAAAGCTGTGTTTCTGTAACCAGATCAGCAGACCAGGGATGTGTGATGTCAAGGATCCCCACTGAGCTGGGCATTTCCCCTGTCATCAAGAGTCTGCTTTCCACAGAATATTTTATTTTTGGCATAGACCTAGAAGACCTGTCAGTCTGAACTCTTCCGGAAACCCAATCTTCATCTGCAAGTGCTGCTGTCCTGTTCAGTGAGCTGTCCCGTGGGTGCCTTATCTTCTCCTTCTCCTCTCATTAGTTTCACTTAGTAGATTATGTTGTTCACAGTATGTGGGACCTACCCGAATCTCATGGAGTACCAGAGAGGGATATACTTCCGAGGAGCATCTAAAAGCCCTGCCACTGGCCAGACCCTAACCACTGACTCCTCCAAACCCAAAGATCAAAGAGGGGCTATCTGCAATGGTATATTGAGGAGACAACATAATGTAAATGGACTTCAGGGGACCTTGTAGTAAGCTTTAGGATATCTTCAAGGATCAAGCGCCTAATCATCACCAGAAAGAGGTGTAAGATGAAGAAGAATCAAAAGCTCATTGACAAGATGCCCTAACATCATCTTTACTAGAGTTAACCAGAGGTACTCTGTCAGACTGTCTCAGGTAAAACTGGGCAACAATATTAGACAAAAAAAATAAATGGAGCTGGCCTGTCCAGAAAAACGGTTACCAGTTAAGCATCTTGGGATGAAATAGTACTGTGCATAGCTGATGAAGAAGGGCTCTGCCTTTAGGGGTGTTCATTCAGCTGTGAACTCATGGTGATGCTATGCTTCCCAGAAGCAAACATGATGAGACCCTGCTTCTTTGCATCTTAACACCAGAAAGCTGGGCTGGGCAAAATATGTGCCTAGAGGGCTGGCCACACTTGTGGGTGTTTGGGGTTTGGTGAGTCTTATTTTGGTTTGTGTTCTTTATGTCTTAGAATTAAATTCCCATATTATGTTTCCTTTAAATACATGAATGCTACAAAAGCACATTATGTGTGCTTTTCTTTTTTGTAATTCTTTGCATTATTTTCTGTATCCCATGACTAATGTTTGCAGGAAAGCTCTTTTAAATCCAGCTTTTTGCTGTACTTAGGCTGGGGGAAGGATCAGGCAGGCAGGTTCTTTGAACACTTCATGGTTCCCATCTTGAGTTGGCAAGTTAACAAGTAGCCTCAAGCAAAGACAGCAAAGACAACAAGCTGTGGCATATCAAGGGACATGCAGCCTTGTGTGGGAGTCCAGCCTACACCAGAGAACAGAACCCTAAAGCTTCCAAGCTGTAAATATCATGAGGCTTAGATAGCATTTCTGAAAATATACTGGGGATGAAAGGGAGATGATATAAAAAAATTACTTTGCCAAAAAGCCAGAATCTTCCACAGGGTGAAAAATATGAGAGATACATAAATGATGCGACTAGCAGTTTAGAATATGACCATAGCACAATCTCTTGTACCATAGAGAGTTTCCATAGAAACACAGTGACGTCAAACATATGACTGATAAATTAAGTCATAATGCAACTTTATGGAAGCCAAAGTTTTACTGCAAATTTGGGTCTAAGACCTAGTGGAAGAGACATAGCAATTAAAGAAATACAAAAATGGCAAACAAAAAGAAGGACGTAACAATCATCAATCCTCCATCAGAAAAGCAACCCAAAATTTACGTTGTTTGTTATGGTGTGCCTCCACCTATCTTTATCCTTATTCTCTCTACTACAACCATCAGGTCCTGCATTTCCTTGGCTACTGTGGCAGTCAGTAGGTGATGTGATGAAACACAATGGGGACTGACATGAATGTCCTCAGAGAGTATATGAACAGGAGGTTTTACATGTTCTGCATTTCACAGGCAGATGAAAAAGTAATCAAGCTTTAGATGTCATCAGTTCAATCACTCATCATTGGGTTTTGAGCAAATTAAGAGCCGGAGGATGTGTGCAGTCCCCCTCTCTTCCCAGCATATTAGAAGGATTAGATAAAACTCCTGCAGAGAAAACCAAAAAGATTTCCCCAAAGACATTTTTGTTGAAGTGAATAAAGATGTTTGCTTTTATCCCCAATATCCCAAGACAAGGAAGATTGGCATGCAGGCACAGGGTAGTTATCCATGCATGCTGGTATCAATCCTCTTGCGCTGACCAATCCCACATACTTTCAAAGCTGTTGCATGCTTTTCTGACAAACCATTTAATTTTGCTACATAAGTTCATGGTAATAAATTTCACATGAAATCAGCTGGAGATTTGCTTACATCCTTATGCCTTGTCCTTATGGAGCCCTTCTTATTTTACATAGCTTGTGACAACTGCAAGTGATACCCAAAATGAAAGGGACAAATATTTTGTTTTATTTTTACACTATTCACAAACCGTGAGTTTCACAGATCTCCTAGTTTGGAATCTAGGAAAAAAAACCCTCCCGTTTAAATCTTTTCTGCTGCATTTTTTTTTTTTCGTTCATTTATATCAAATTTCACCCACGGGATTTCAATAGCTAATAACCATAATGCCATAATGCTAAGCTTATATATGCTCCCTCTCTGTCGCAAACCTGCAGCATCAACACCTGCCCCAAACCTGTGCAAAATGCCAGCAGCAGAGGCACTGTGGCACTGCAACAGCGCACCCTTTGGGTACCAGGTAAGGTCGATAAATAAGCATATATTGCCTGTAGCTGGTGCATCTCGGAGGATAAAGCACACTCAGCCAGAGCAAGCCCGATGGGCAGGATCCAGGCAGGACGAGGCTGCTGCTTCTGGCAGGCGCACTGAGTGTAAGCAAGAGAGGGAGAGAAAGATTTATACCAGCACAAAGTGGGCTCACCCTGGGGGCACCCACAGGTACCCACTGGTATCAGTTTGCTTTAGCTTTGTAAACAGTCTTAATGGTTTCAGTCCCTGCTCTCCTGCAGCGAGGGAGGCACTTGCTTTCTCCTGGAATAGCTAATCCTAATGTGCATGCTGTGGCTGCCTGGAAAACATCCTCCCTGCAGCACATTTTGGTGGCATCATGTTGCAAATCCCAGTGCTCAAAACCCATGCCTGCTTATCTGAGGGCTGCCTGTCCCAAAGTGGAAGCAAGAGAGGAGAAGGAGGGGGGAAATCCCAAATCCCTCTGGCACTCCCCTCTAGGGAACATGATCAGCAGGTCCAGTGCTGCACAATCCTTTCACAGGCAGAGCAATATGCAAGGAAACCCTCAGATCTTTGCAAGAGCAGCTGCCTGGCAGCAGTGAGAAGCTGCCAAGTGGTGGGTGGTTGGCGTATGTGCTGGGAGAGGGGAAACTCAGAACAGATATTTGTGTTAGCAAAAATGCTGTAATTCTTCACAGTGTAAGCAAGAGACTCAGCCCTGCCAACTCTGAGGCTGGGGAAAAAAACGTCACTTGGCATCAGGCACTGTTTTTTCCATTAAGATGCCTCACCTTGCCCCTCTGAGTACATTTAGGACCAGAATCAGCCCAAAGGATGCAAAGTGGAACATCAAGAGGGTAAAAAAAATAAAAGGGAAAAAATGAACCCTGGTGGGGAGAGAAAGGGCCATTTCTCAGTCCCCCGCTGCTCCGCCTCCCTTCCAGGCTGCTGGAGCAACATCACCTCTCCTGCAACTCGTTGTCTGCATTGCTCCTCTCCATGTGTTGTCAGGAAGGTATGTGGCCTGTGTGACCATAAAAATGGCAGGGGGAGGATACAATAAAGCATAATCATAGAATCATAGAATGGTTTGGGTTGGAAATGACCTTAAGATGATCTAGTTCCAACCCCCCTGACATGGGCAGGTATGCCTCACCCTAGACCATGTCGCCCAAGGCTCTGTTCATCCTGGCCTTGAACACTGCCAGGGATGCAGTTTAATCTAACTGAACATGGTGATGATGAAGCCTTGTCACAGATGGGTGGGAATCTCCATTGCCCTGTGAATTCCCCAGGGACTGGGTAGAAGGCATCTCATTAAAATCTAGCCATGGTATGGTATTGCAAGCTCTCAGGTGAGCTTCCCTTGCAGGACATCTGTGTAAAATAAATCTCTCTTACAGATCTGCTCTTCTTGCATTCCCTGGAGGTCAAGCCTAAGCAGCTGGACCTGCTAAGACTTCAGTAAGAGAGGAGTCCATGCAGACTAGCAATTGGCTCCTGCTGTACATAAAGCATTTGGAGAAACTGATCACCCTTTCATCAGCAACTGCACTACAGCCAATGCAACATCTATAAAACTAAGCACCAAGGAAAGCACACAGGCTGACTCTTCGCTGTCTCTTCTTAAAACAGGACAAAGGTGGCACCAAATGAAACTAGCAGGTGACAGATTCATAACAAGGAAAAGAGAGTGACTCCTCACACAACACATGACCATGGAGCTCCTTGCTGCAGCATTCTGTGGATGATAAAAGCTTACCTGAGTCAGCTGGGAAAAATAACAGAAAGGAAATAAACAGATTTTACTTCTGGCTTTGGAAATCCCTGTGCAACAAGTGGAGTATTTCACCTGGCTCTGGGACCCCCAGACATGGACCTACTAGAGTGGGTCCAGAGAAGGGCCGTGGAAATGATCAGGGGGCTGGAGCACCTCTCCTGTGAAGAAAGGCTGAGAGAGCTGGGGTTGTTCAGCCCAGAGAAGAAAAGGTTCTAGTGAGACAGTATCGTGGCCTTTCAATATGCAAGGGGGGATTGTAAAAAGGACAGAGTGGGACTTCTTACTAGGGCTTGTAGAGACAGGGTAAGATGTAACAGTTTTAAACTAAAAGAGGGTAGATTTAGTTTGGATAGAAAGAAGAATTTCTTCACTATAAGGGTGGTGAGGCACTGGCACAGGGTGCCCAGAGAAGTTGTGGCTGCCCCATCCATGGCAGTGCTGAAGGCCAGGTTGGACACAGGGGCTTGGAGCAACCTGGTCTAGTGGAAGGTGTCCCTGTCTGTGGCAGGGGGTTGGAACTGGATGATCTCTAAGGTCCCTTCCAACCCAAACTATTCTATGGTTCTATAGTAAGTTGTTAGAAGCTGGAAGAATATTCACAGAAAGTATCATTGCTAACTTTTCTGCTGTTTTACTCTCTACTGAGTGTCCACTCAGGCTATCAAAAGAGACACAAACATGATGCTCATGCCTGCAGTTTTTATCTTGGGTTGGGATAGCCATGCTGCTTGGTGTAGCTAGGAGCCAGCAGATGCATGATTGCGGGATACTGAGGATCTAGTCTTAGCTGACATTTACTAGAGCTTTGTATGATCCTTACAGGCACTGAGATCCTCTAACTCCATGAAGCAAAGGAGAGAGAGCAGCTGCTCTGCATCACACACAACTAGACCCTTTCCCTGAAAACCACCACTCTCACTGTGAGCTTCAGGGAGATGAACTGCATCCTGTGTGCTCAGGAAGAGATCTCCTGTAGGTTAGTAAAGGTAAAGGTTGGACTTGATGATCTTGAAGGTCTTTTTCAACCTAGTTGATTCTGTGATTTTATATCACAGGATACTCTTCTTAATGTAAGTAGTTGATTTCCTTCTGATAGTTCATGAAGCTCAGCTTAATTCTGCTCCTGAGTAGTTACAGACTTCACTGACAGCCAAAGCAGTCCCACCTTTTATGAGTGCCATCACAGCCCATGCAAACAGGAAGCGTGTATCGTTGCAGAAGTAATACACAGCAAGTCTGCATCCCAGCAATTAGTGTTAAATCAACTGACAGGATCAAACTGAAGGCACAACATAAGCAGATAGTAACAGAGGCCAAAGAACAGCAGTCACTTCTCTACAGCTCATTTTCTAATTTAAAGGGCAGATGGGCAGAGCGGCAAGGTAGTTCAACATGAGGAAACTTCAGAGAGGGAAAAAACATTCCTACTCCAAATGTGGAGCAATTAAGAAACATTGCAAGTAAACACAGTAGAAATCAGACAAGAAAGAGGGTAATTACAGCATTTCTTTACCCCTAAAGATTTTTCCATCCATTCCTACTTCTCAACTCCCTATCCTTGCCTTGAGAAAGAGCAACACAGGTTTTTGTCCTTGACTTACCATACACCCATCCTACACAGATAACCTCAAAAATGGCCATGAAGAGCAGGCACATGCCACTGGCAGCATAGTAGTCAAAGAGCTGGAAGATGTACATCCCACCCTGTTGAAGAGGTAGAGGAGAGAGGGTCATGGCAGAGCTATTCCATGTCAGGGAAAAATGTCTGAGGTGAGCAGAGTTAACAGCAGAAACACTGCACCCAGAGCAGGTGGGAGAAAAAGAGCTTTCTCTTGGGTCAGCCAACACTTTGTCCCAAAACGACAGCCAGGCCTGGAGGCAGGAGAGCATTTCATGATACTGCTAGCTAGGCTGGTTTCTGTGTCCATAGGAGCAGGAACCAGTTTGTTTGCTTGTTTTAAATCAGTTATCAAGTTTTCAGCATAATTTCAATATACCATGTAGCAGTGCAGAACTTGGCATCCAAAGAGGGTCAAGACATTCAGATACCTCATTCTAGCTGCATCCATCTTTACGTACTGCTCAGGATTCAAGCCCTGCAATGGTAGAGGCACGTGGTTTCCCTGCTGCGTCTGCCTTCAAGCTGATAACTCATAGCTGCCATCAGCTACATCTACAGGTCAGTGGAGGACCCCTCTCTCATACTTTCTTGTGTTTTCTCAAAAGAGAAAGCCATTCCAATACAAGCCAAGCAGATGCTTTCAAATAGTGCTGAAGGGCTCTAAACACTGCCAGAGGAGCAGTGCAGTTACCCCTTCATCCCACCAGGTATAAGGTGACATCCTGCAATGATGGGAGTAGATGCTTCCATGCAAAGAGGCATGCAATAGCTCTGGGAACCCTTAACTCAGTTTCCCTCTAAGCTCTGTCAACAGCAGTTGGAGCTGCCTTCAGCAAACCGTGAGCCAGGATCCTGTTGGAGGATCATTCAGTCACTAGAGCCTAAGAGGTTTAGCAGGAATTAGCTGTCACTACACAGCACGTGGAGGCAACACAGAAGAGTGCTAAGACCCCTGCCCAAGGGGTGCATGCACAGTGCAGCACGGCACACAACTGTGTGTTGTGGAAGAGGTGCTTGGCTATTAGCTGCAAAGGAGGGCAAACACTGTGCACATAGTACGGCACTAACACAGCTCTGCTCCTCATGGTGCCAAGGATGTCAGGCTTCCCACTGGCTCAGGCAGGGTTACAGTGCAGCCATTATCCCCAGCCTCCACTCCTGCTGCTCTGCTGCTTGTGGAAAGCAGCCAGCAAATGATCGCTGCCATTAGAAAAGCTCCTGCTTGTGTTGCTCAGCTTGTTTTAGTCACCAGGCCTGGTATTTGCACAAAGCTGTATGTCAGGCAGCCTCCCTGGACTGCGGGACCATCTCTCTGGAAGGCTCAGTTATACAGCGAGTACACTAGCATCACACAGGGTAAAAGCAACACCAGCTGTGAGAGACACCAGTTAATGTATTAGAAATGAAAGACAATTAACAGCATCAAAGATGAGCTTGCTGTCCCTACCCACTCCTCCAGAGCAGTCTAGCAGGCTTCCTGGTGTGTGGCTGGATACCCCAGCTACTCCTTTCTTACCTCGGTGACCAGTAATAAGCCCAGCAGGTAGCATATGACTGCAATGGCCAGGATTAGGAGCTCCCGACGCCCCTTCTTCCGAAACACTCGTGGGAACATGTCAATAAGACCTGTTACCATGCTTTCCACACAGACAAACTGCAGAAGAAGACAGGTCAGAAAAATCAGTGTCCCCCCTTCCCCTGTCACTGTCCTTTTTACCTCCATACACCCAAATCCTTATTTCTTTTTATTTTCTCTTTTTGCCTCTCTTGATGCCACCAAGGGCCAGCTGCAGCTGCTAGAGACCCAAATACAGCTCAATGTATCACTGAGCTCTCCTCTGGAGCTGCGGACCAAAGGGGTAATAAGTACAGCCCTACGGGGGGGATGAATTGTGAGCTGTACAAGGAGT